ATTAAAAAAAAAAAAAAAAAAAAAAAACAGAAATCAACAAACATCTTTTATTGTGTCTTCAGAATGTCACACGTGGTCTTAGACATCATCTGGCATTTTGTCTCTGTAGCTGGCGAACGCTTAGCTGTCATGCATCGGCCTGCCGCACTGTTCCCCTCTCAGAGACGGGGACGCCATCCCCCAGTGGTTGTCCCCTTGTTTTTAACTGTTGTGGCTTGCCAATTCGAGGCAGCCAAATTTGAAATAAGTTCAATGTCGTTTTCTCCAAGGAGTAATTCATCTTTTCAGGCTTGAGGTACTGAGCAAGCCACACTGGGCCACATTGGAACCCTGCAGATAAATTTTTTACCCCAAGAAATTTCAGATTTCAACAAGAGGCCTATTCTCCCACATAGCAACAATGATGGGGCAAATGAGCACACACAGATCTCATATATATATACATTATGTATAAGAGAGAGAGCAAAAGAGGAGAGCGAGCCACCAGGTTCAGGATTTGAACCATGGTTGGCCATGTGGGAGTCTAGCATCCCAACCACCACACCACCTGTAATTCCTTCTCCATTCTCCTCCTGGGATACTGGGCATGCTCACACATGGCATGATTTCAAAGCCACCGGGTCTAGGACTTGAATCACGGTAGGCCATGGGGGAGTCCAGCGATGTACCTGCTGCACCATCTGCTGGCTCCACTGCACAATATATTCTGTCCTGCTTGTCTGTCTCCTCCACAGGAGGAGGAGACACACACGCACACACACGTGCCCAACACACTCACGTGCCCTGCGTGAGTTTTAAGCCACCCTGGGCTCCTGCAAGCCAGCAGCTCTATTTTCTTTTTGGAGAGGTTTTTCCTCTAGGGTACACATGCTCACCAGAAAGACAGAGAGACAGAAAGCGAGAAATCACCCCCCCCCCAGGGGGGATGGCCACGCCACAATCCCTTCTTCTCCATTCGGGATCTTGGGCACACACGCACATGCGCCCGGTGTGAGTTTAAGCCACTGGGTTCAGGACTTGAACCGCTGTTGACTACATGGGAGTCCAGCGACATAGCCATTATTACACTAACTGCTGGTCCCAAGCAGCTCTATTCGTCCTGAAACCTCAGTACCTGCCTCCATGCTGGACCCAGGGTGTAAATTCAAATAAGCATTTTTCCACTTGAATTAGTCCTACCCCTGTCTCTCACACTCAGGTCTGGCCATTTTTGGTTCATGATGGAGCTCTGGTAACAGCTTCCTACTCGGAATCCCTTCTCCTCCATTCCGTTCTCTTCCTGGGATCTTGGGCACACACGCATATGTACACAGCATGAGTTTTAAGCCACTGGGTCCAGGGCTCAAACCGCAGTTGACTCTTGGGGAGTCCAGCGTTGTAACCATGACACCACCTGGTGGCCCCAATAAATAGCTCTTTGAAAAAAGTCAATAAATGTGTAAACATAAAGAGGAGAGGTCTAAGATCTTTCCTACCTCGAAGGGTCCCATTTCCTCCTAAAATTGCATTGAGAGTGCCCTTTGTGGGACAAATTCCCAAAGAAAAGGGGCAAAGGCTCTTCTCTAACCTTAAAATGAACTACGAAATCAGCATGTGTGTGTTTCTTTACCTTTCACGAAGCACTTGCATAGCCGTCTCTGGATTTGAAAGGGTTTTCACGGGAAGAAATCACAGCCACGCCTTCACAGTGGTAATCTCCAGATGGTGGAATTGGGCATGCTTCTCATTTTATTTGTGTTTTTCTAAACCTTCAAAATATTCTGCAGTTTTGGAACTAGAGACGATGGTTACGCAACATTATGAATGTACTAAATGCTACCGAATTGTACGCTTCAGAACGGTTCCTTGTGTAGCATGGGAGTTTCGCCTCATTAAAAAAATCTGCAATATACACGCATGGTTTACATTTTTATTATGCCAGAGGACACATGCACAAAGAGAAAGAGAGAGAGAGAGAGAGATCCCTACAATTTTCCATTCCACAGGATCCTGGGTGTCCAGGCTTGTACGCCACAGCGGGTCAGGACTCAAACCCTTATTGACTACATGGGATCTGGCTACCTCTGCACAGCAATTAACCACAGCCCCACAGGCCAGCCCCATAGGCATGATTTTTTTTTTCTATCTCCTCTTCTTTCTTTTCTCCTTCTCCTTCTTAGTTTTTGCTACAGAGAGCATATACTTTCCAGAGAGAGAGTGAGCGAGCACAAGGGAAAGTGAGAAATCACCCTTCAGAGCAGAAGGCCATGCCACAATCCTCTCTTCTCCATTCTCCTCTGGGATTTTGATAAGATTTTCAAGCCCCCAGGTCTGGGACTAGAACTGCTTAGCTGACCATGAGGGACCCAACCACTCCAACCATCACGCTACCATCTGGCCCTACAGACATAATTTTATATTC